AAAATGGAAAGGAAAATAACTCCCCAAACTATGGAAAAAAATGAAACAAATGAATTAAATGATGTATAAATCCACAAAAAAGAAATTACTTCAAGTGGCTTTCAAACACAATACTTCATCTCTCTAGCAGAACTTATTCTAAAGACAGAAAGAAGAGCAAAGCAATCATATACTGCATTTGATAACCTCAAATGTGACATTAGAATTGTTATTTTTATTTAATTTTCAAGACAACACTGAGAGTCCATCTTACCCCAGAGAGAATGCCCATCATCAAGAAATCAAATAATAACAAATGCTGGCAAGGTTTCAGGGAAAAAGGAACCCTTCTACATTGCTGGTGGGAATGTAAATTAGTACAACCACTATGGAAATCAGTATGGAAATTCCTCAAAAAACTGAAACTAGAAATTCCACTTGACCCAGCTATTCCCCTTCTAAGTATCTACCAAAAAGACTTAAAAACATCATATTCCAGTGACACATCCATACTACTGTTTACAGCAACATAATTCATAATAGCTAAATCTTGAAAGCATCCTGTATGTCCATCAACAGATGTATAAATAAAATGTTTGGTATTATACACAATGGAGTACTATCTTGCCATAAAGAAGGATAAACTTGAATTATTTGTAGGAAAATGGATGCACCTTGAGTTTATAATAATAAGTGGCATAAACCAGACACAGAAGCTTAAAGATCACATTGTTTCTTTTATATGCTAAACTCTAAATATAAATAAAGAGCAAAATAAAAGATAGGTGATAGGAAATAGGAAGATAGATCTTTCTCAAAGGGGAAGGGGATCGAGAGATGCAGGGAGCGGGGAGGGATGGGAGGGGAAGGGGATGAAAAAGGACTTGAGATGTGTTATGTACATGTATCAACTCCCCACGAGGAATGTAAACATTATGTACTGCAAACATCTACAAAAAATAAACAATAAATGTTTGATAAAATTTTACATTAAAATAAAGAATTGTTGTATGATTGTTTTAATTCTTTTGGGAAGATACCCAGCAGGGGAATAGCTGGGTCAAATGGGACCTTTACTTCCGGTTCTTTGAGGTATCTCCATACTGATTTCCACAGTGGTTGCACCAGTCTGCACTCCCACCAACAATGGAGAAGGGTTCCTTTCTCCCCACACCCCCACCAGCATTTGTTATTGGTTGATTTCTTGATAGCAGCCATTCTTTCTGGGGTGAGGTGGAATCTCAGTGTTGTTTTTATCTGAATCTCTCGAATGACCCATGATGCTGAACATTTTTTCAAATATTTATTTGCTGCTTTTACTTCTTTGTCTGAGAAACCACAGCGATATATTCACACCCATGTTTCTAGCGGCACAATTTGTAATAGCTAAAGCTTGGAAACAGCCCAAGTGCCCATCAACTGGAGACTGAATAATGAAGATGTGGGGTTTTTTTATAAAATAGAGTACCACTCAGCCATAAAGCATGAGAAACTAGAGACATTTATAGCTAAAGGCCATAATCTTAAGTGAAATAAATAGGACAGATGTGTAAATATCGAATAGTTTCTCTGGTGTGAGAAACTGAAAGTGTAAATAAGGATTAAAATGAATAATCGATAATGTGAAATAGGAAGAAAAGGTCTAAAGGGGTAGGGGAAAGAAAAGAAGGGAAAGGAAAAAATATGAGAAAAGGAAAAAATGGAAACAAAGTCTTTGTAAACAGGGAAGGGTGGAGGGGGTGAAGGGAGGGCAGGGAAATGGGGAAAAAATAAGAACCAAGATACATCATGTAAAGGTGCAAGTTTCCAATTATAAATGTAAATGTATTGTATACCTAAAATGTACCAATAAAAGAATTTAAGAAAAAAACCAAAGATTGTTATTTTGAAATTGTTACCAATATAAAGTAGGGTAATCAAAGCAATTATGTCAATGTCATTAAGAACCAATACTCTGAGACAAAAAAGATATAGTTCCAAAATAAAGGATAAGAACCTTATACAAACTCTGAAAATTGACTTTGAAATATTTATACATAGTCATTTTTTTTCTTTTGAAAAATATTTATTTCCTAGATCTTTCACTAAAAAGAAAAGACATGACAACCTAGTACCAGTGAGGAAATGCAGCCCAAGGCTGCTGTCTATATACCATTTCCCACTAGAGCTCTTTGGAGAAATGGGTGACTCCATGTCTGGGTATGGAATTGTACCAGATGAGCCTGACACAACTCATCAAACCCAAAATCAAGGAAGCTATCATGACAAAAAGAAACAAAAGCCCACTTGAAAGAATCCCTAGTGACTGAAGATGATATAATTTTAGCAACAAAATGAGTAATAAATTGATCAAAATACATTAAATAGAAAAAATATTTGAGTTTATAGAAATACTTGAAAACTTGATTTAAAAAAAAGAAAGAAAGGGCCAGGGATTTAGCTCAGTGTTGCTGTGCCTGCTTTGCAAGCACAAGGTCCTGAGTTTGGTCCCCAGTACCAGCGGGAAAAAAACTCACCTGATTAGTCATCATTGAAGGCTGCTAGGATACCAACTCATTCTGGAAATTGCTATTCTTAAAAGGAAGGTCTGTAACATTCATCTTGCCATTTTGGTATACATTGTAATTGAAGGTAACTAAAATGGTTCGAGTAAAATAAAATTCTTCTTTATAGAAGAATTCCAACTAATAAATATAGGAGAAATAACAGAATTAGAAAAATGTCATTGTGTCACCCTTAATGAAATGATGGATCTAAGCTATAAAAACAGACTGACAAAATGACATCTTTAAGAAAATAAGGGAAATTTGAATATGGATTAAGTATTAAATAATATTTATGAATTATTAATTTGTTAGCTATATTGTAATACTGGTGACATATAATTTATAAGGTGTGCATATATATATGTATATAGGCATAACTGCTATATGAGAAAAGAGAAGATTTTTAAAATCGAAAGGCATTATTGCTAATTAAAAGAGAAATATTAGGGAGAAAAGTCATTTTGGGCTAAAAAGGATGAAAATTTTTACACATAAAGTTTGGGAAGCCAGCCATAAAAACAGGTTTTCATGCAATAGAAAGCTAAAGGTTCAGACTTAGAACTCAGAAGAAATGTCAGAGATGGGGAGAGATTTGGGAGGCATTTATATAGGTCCCTCTAATGAGTAAATCCTTAAGATTAGATTTGCAGGAAAAGGCAAGAACAAGGCCAAGGCCACGCTCTAGACAATATTTACATCACAGGGGTGTACTAGTGTTGGAGGAGGTAGAAGACGTGTTGGTGAGGGAGCTAGGAGAAACAACACAACAAGAAAAACAACCAAAACCAGGAAAAAAGAAGTCCCCAAAAGCACATGGAAACCCAAAATAGTTTGGTCTCATGGAGGCTGAAGAAGGAAAGAATTTTGAGAGAAGGGTAGTCAATGATTAAGCCTGGGTCAAGGTTGAGAATGATAAAGTTGCAGAAAATGGAACTATTCCTTTCCCCACATTTTTACCATATATCCTACTTAATTTCAAACTGACAATGACCTGACTAATAGTGAGCCTGTAAGAAAGTGTCTTAATCATCAGCCTCCATCTGGCCCTTAATTCATTTGTTCCCTCACTCCCCCACTCCCTCAGCCATTCATTTAACCAACATCCATGGAGCCACTACTCCAAGCCAAACCCCTGCTATGTTCTGCAGATAGTGAGACAAATAAAATATCTGCTCTCCAGAAACTCACAGCTTAATGAGGAAGACAGACCTAGACAAATAATTACAACATAGTGTTAACATTTCAGCGACGACTTATTAAATGTAAATTCTAGGCCAGGCACTATGGGAGGCACTACAGATACAAACATAAACAAGTGGTTCCTTCCTGCTGGGAGCACAGAATATAGCTTGGAAGGCAGATGGAATTACAATCGATTGTGATATGAACTAGACATTACAGGAGTACACAAGCTACAAAAAAGCAATGAATAGGAAATAAGGCTCATGACTGAGCTCTTTAAGGTAGGGGCTATACATATGCCGATTTTACAGAAGGAATGTAATGGTTTGGATGGGTCTGTCCCTCAAAGGTCATATATTGAAGGCTTGGACACCAGTTGATGACACTACTGAGAGGTAGTGGGCACTTTAGGAGGTAGGGCTTAGTTGGAAGAAGCAGATCACTGGGCTGTGTCCTAAAAGGTGATACTGGAACCCTGGACATTTCTTCTCCCTCTCCTTGCTTCCTGTCCTCCATGAGGTAGGCAGCTTTGCTACACCATGTGTTCCTGGCCACAATGTTTCTGCCCTGTCATAGGCCAGAAGCAACAGAGCCAAGTGACCATGGACTAAAGCCTCTGCAACCATGGACCAATGTGAACCTCTCCTCCTTTAACTTGATTTTTCTCAGGTATTTTGTTACAGCAATAGAAACCTGATTAACACATTGAGGTTTGAGTACAGAGAGAAGAGGTAATTTTTCCCAAGGCAAAATAATTGTTTATAGCAGAGCCAGAGTTCAAATGTGAGTCTTAAGACTTGGAAGTTCTCTTTTTACCTGATAAAGAGAAAAAGGAGGAGGAAGGAATTAGAAGGAGGATAATGGGGTGGGAGGAGGAGGAAAATAAAAACAGCTAACTTTTACCAAATGCTAATTGTGGATCAGATGCTCTGCTAAGCGCTATACAGACAGCCAGGTAACCCTCACTCTTGTGATGCAAAAACTCTATCAGTCCATGTTCTGATGTTCCCCAGAGACATTAGATAACATCCTTGAGATCACAGAGCCATGGTTTGAACTCAGCCATCCTGACTCCCAGGGAAGGGCTGTAATTCACTGCACTCCACCGGACCTCACTCTTGAGATGGGCTAACCTTGCAGCCAAGAGCCAAGGGCTCAGCCTTCTTCTTCCTACACCTAAGCGACCACCTGAAGTTAGTTGTAGTCCTTGCTAATGGCTCTACAGGAGACTAATGAGCATAGCCGAGAACTAAGAATCAGCATTCAGTGATACTTTCCCAATATAAAGAGACAGGGCTAGAGTGAGAAGGAGCAACCTCGCCTGTGCCCGCCCAAGCTGACTGATCTCTATGCACCTGGCCTGCAGGGAGCTGCGCCACACGCCGACGGAGTGGACATGGGCAGAGTGATGGTGGCCAGGCTGGGGCTGGGGCTGCTGCTCTTGGCACTGCTCCTACCCATGCAGATTTACTCAAATCAAACAGCTGTTGTGCAACCTTCAAGTAACACCTCCCAGAACACCTCTGCTACCCCAAATCCAACTAATGCCACCACCAAGGCAGGCAGCGGTGCCCTGCAGTTGACAGCCAGTCTCCTTGTGGTCTCAATCTCTCTTCTACATCTGTACTGCTAGAGACTGGCCAAGAAACGTCCCTACTTCCCCATCTTGTAAACCCAATCCAAATGGCGACCAGAAGTGCAGTGTAGCAAGGAAGAAATCTAATTCCACACCTTATTTTAGCGATGCAGAAAATGCTGAAAATTCCAAATTTGATTCATTTGAAGGACATGTGAAGGGACTGACAGATGATGAATGCCAATATTAAATCTGCTGGTTTTTTTTTTCTTACAAAATGAAGAGAGATAACAACATCCAAGATTACTCATGATTTCCTCAAATATGGCTTAAGAAATATGGACACTTAAAACTGTACCTTGAAAACAAGAATAGATTTTATTTAGAAATAAAAGATGGGACATGGAATGGAGATTCAGTTTTCATTAGGTTCATTAAATCTATAAGGCCATAAAACATAATATAAAAAGCTTCCATGATGCTATTTATATGTACATTAGAAGGAACTACCATGTGTTACTGTGATTCCTCAATGTGTTGTTTCAACAGTACTCATTTAATGCTGATATCCTCTAGATGAAGTTTCACATTGTTAAGCTATCACTGTTTTCCTGGAAATTGAACTCTATCCCCCGTCCTCTGTGGCTTTGGATTTGACATTACATTTGACTTTTTATGTGGTAACTGACATGTGCCAGGGCAATAGTAGACAGGAACCCACACTCAAATCTAAGTATCTCAAGTAAATCTTATCTTTCCAAAGTGAAATGGTAGGCATTTCCCACCACCCACTTTCATTCAACAAAAGTACCAGATTCATCTAGCTAAACTGATTCCAAAGAGTAGAATTGTATTGACCTCAACTAATTTCAAAATGCTGCCTTTTTATTTCTGTATATGTTGAATACTCCTCACATTTAGCAATACAGTCTGTTTTGAAGGTAAAATTACAAATCTTGAAATTAAAAAGGTAAATATGTGAAGGGGCCAAAACTAAATCAAGCATTTGGGAAGGTAGAACTAGAAGCTAACTTGCATAAATTTGCAAAAAAATTTATATTTTTTCTGTAAATACTGTTTTTTAAAACTATGGATCACAATAGCTACATTTGGAACCCATTCTGTTATCAGTCAATATCTTTAGATAGTTAGAACTGTCCTAAGCCCTGATTTTTGCCGTCTTTTACAACTGCCTTGATACACAGAAACCTTTAAAAAGAAAGAGGCATACCCTAAACTCTTTTGTTTGCATGGTCACACACTGATGCTTACATGTTCCAGTATCTAATAGGACAAGAATAGACTTGATAATCCAAGTCACTGCTTTCCCAACTTTGGAAATCTACAGGGGAACAACCAGACTGAACAGACCTGAAGCTACAGTGTGTGTGAATGAACACTCCCTTTTTCTTCATATCTGAATGCTGTACATCTGTTTGGATTATATATTGTGTTTGTGTATTTATGCTTTGATTCATAGTAACTCCTCATGTTATGGAATTGATTTGCATTGGACACAAACTGTAAATAAAGAAATAAATGGCTGAAAGAGAAGGAGCAGTGCTCCCAATCTCCTCCTGTGAACTCTTGGGCAAATAAGTTCTTTTTTGGGCTCCTGCCCTATAGCTTTCAAAGACTTTCATATATAGAACTTAGTTAACAGGGCACTTTGGGTAAAACTATTTAGAAAGTAAAACAGAAACAAGACAGTTCTTGATCATGGAGATTTTCCCCAGAAGATTAACTATTTCTTTCCTCTTCAATCCACAAATATTTTACAGATGTCCTCTGGTCTTCTTGGAATTTCTACTAAGATTTGCAGCTATCCCAACAAGAATGTTCTTTCTATTAACATATGGAGCTTATATCTCCTGGCTCCAAATTCATTTCCATTTCTACCACAACAGGGGTCAATGCAGCCAAAGGAATAGAAAAAAATCACACTCCACAGGAGCTGGGGCATCATTCTTGGGTTTTGTCTCATCAGTCCCTAAGTCAATCCCCTACCCTACTCAGATCCCTACAGGTAGACCTTCCATCTCAAGGTTCAGTTCCACTCAGTTCCTAGACCAGCTTCAGTCCTTGGGACTGAGTTACTCCCCACTACCTGGTATCCCCAGAATGGCTGACTGAAAGGGCTGTGATGTTCCCAAATCAGAGCTCTTCACAAGCTTAGCTCTTATACCAATCCAGTCTTAATAGATGATCTTTTGCCTGATTCCCACTTCTAAGTCCTATGGGTGTCCTGCCTTCTGTCTCAGTCCCCTTTAGAGCTGAATCCCTGGCCTAAATGAGGCAGTGTCTCATTTGTCTCTTCCCGTCAATACTTGATACAGAGAACAGTCCTCAATTCCTGTCCACTGGGTGGATTAACCATGCTATCTGCTCGTTCTTGCCCATTCTTCTCCCGGAACTGGTACCTTGCCCCAATAGCTGTGGCTTGGCCACTAGTGAGAGATCTTGCAGATAATGCCCAATTGACTGAAGATCCAAACTCTACCCACATACCCATTCTTTAGCCATGTGATCTTGAGAGGGTTACTTAATCCTTATATATAAAGTGGGGAAATATAATTGTTAGGATTGTTGAGAAGATCAAAACTTATTACATTAAATGTTTAGTACAGTGTCCATACAAGTGTCTGCACATGCTGTCGTTGTCATCATCATCATCATCATCGTGAATATTGATCACTATTTCTGAATGTTGGCCATCTCCCAGAATATCACTGAGTGGTTACCTAGGCCCACTTGGAGACCATTCTCCTCATTCCCATGGCTGCCTCTGTTTGTAACGAGGTCATTTCCCCAACCGTGTATCCTGCCCAATGGTCATAGTCTGAGGCTTCAGTTACCTCTTCCTTCTGCTTGGCCTGCTTCTGCCATTAAAGCCATCATTCAAGGTCTGTCATTCAAGGCATCCAAATCTCATATTAGAAAAACATCCACTTTTAACACACCAAGTTTGAGTAAGCAGACCATTCTCTCTTGGGCTAGGCAGTCCCTAGAGCAAGTGGTGGTGGGAGAAAGCACCAGTATGGTTTGAGAAGCAGTAGGTGTAGAGGGTGAAGCAGAGGCATAAAAAGCTTGGCCAGGTCTTTGGGAACCAGGTGTGGGTGGGCCACTCTCCAAGACCAGAAGGATCTCCCCTCCACATACACATACTGTAGCAGAACTTCTCTGGGAAAAGTTTCCAAAGAGAGCAGGAAGACAGGACAGTCACGTTGCTGTTCATAGATGGTGGTGGTGGGGGTCCTGCCAATGCAGTTCCAGACATAATCAAAACAGAATGCTAGCATCTCGGAGGCTTGGTGTCACATCTTAAGAGAACAATGGCTGAGGAAAATACTTGTTTGCTGCTCAGCACCCTAAAGGAGCCCAGCTCTTCAGGACCTGCTGACTCTGGGAAAGTGTGAATTGGGAGTGCCCTCAGAGCATTTAGCCCCATGCCCTTCTTCTACAGGTGCAGAAATTGAAGGCTTGTTTTGGCCTTTGCCTTGTACTTTAGTGAGATTGGCCTATTCATATGCCACTTAATATCACTTCAAAACAAGTCTCAAAGAACTCCTAGCCTTGGCACTTCCTAGCACTGACAACCCTCCTACCCACCACCTTGATGTCTATTGCTTTTGGTTCCCCTATTTGGGCAATCCACTTGGAATTCCTCTGGCTTGTAGATTTGGGCTGACGCTTAGGTATGTTTATCGCTGTGACTCTGCTGCCTTAGGCAGTTTCTGCAGAGAATCCCTTCTTCAGCCCCAGCTAGGACAGTGCCCTCACCTACCCACACCTCTCCCATGCATACAGCTTCGAAGTCATGGGGTACAGGCAGTGTGGCCCAGAAAAAATAGTAACAGTAACAGGAGCTCCTTGTTGAGACTTTTGAACATTTAAAATAAAGAATGGAACATGTATGCAAATTGTAGCTCCAGCTCTGTGGTGCTATATGATCCTCATCAAGATATTAGACTTCTCTGAACTTCAGTTTCCACCATAAAGTGAAGACTAAATGGGATACTGTGTGTAAGTGGTTGGCACAGGAAGTGCTCAGTAAATTCTAACTTGTATTAGTAGCAGTAACAGATAATCTAATAACCCCTACGTCTTTACCATCTATCAAACTGGTGCTTGTTCTGTAGGTGCTGAGTGTGAAAGGTATTTCCTTACTCAATAGGCACAGCACCCAGGCAACAAAGGTAGAGAATGTGGAGACCTGAGGCTGGGTGATTTGGTGATGTCTCAAGTCACGGTTACGGAGCAGCACAGCCTGGATTAGGAACTTCTGTTTCTCAACTCCATATCTGTTGTTTACTGTTTAAATTCCCTGATCGAATTTAGGAATTTAGAGATCGTCTACTATGATCTCATTATTTCAAGATTTGGAAACAAGCCAGACAGAACAAGGACTTTTACAAGGCTGAAGAGCTAGTTGACTGGAGAGGAGAGCCCAGGTCTCCTGACCCCTAGCTTAGTACTCTGTGAACAACACAACAGTTTCTTTAGAAAAGAAAGAAAGAAAGAAAGAAAGAAAGAAAGAAAGAAAGAAAGAAAGAAAGAAAGAAAGAAAAAGAAAAGAAAAACAGCCTCTCTGTCCCTAGCTCGGCAAACATGGTCATCTTAGCTCAAAGCTACCACAGCTTTCTAGGAAAACAGCCAAGTGGTAACTGCAAAAGCATCCTACAATTACAAGCTTGCCCTCCGAGCACCAGACTCATTCTTCATGAACTGTGCACCTTCAGCATGATGGGAAAGAAAGTATTAGCATGAAGCCCAGTGACAATTGAGGCCTGCCAACTGCCATAAGCTTGGCACTGTGGAGTACCATCATTGAAGTGGGCCCTATAGTATTTCTGGAATGTCAAGCATGAGCTCTAAGAAACAGCCTCACTTGGCAGTTCCTTCTGAAGCAATAAAGACAGTTAAATGAGGCCCAAGTAGTGCAGGATATTATTGTTTACATGCAAACCTTATCTTGCAGCTGTGGGAAATGCAGCCAAATTCCACAAGCTCTTTCCTTATAAGTGGTGCTTTGCAAAACAGAGAAGGCCAGCATTGCTGTTGGTCTGCTGCTCTTTCTCCAAATCAGCTTCCTTTGAAAATGAAAAATGTTGTTCTCAGAACTCAGGCTCCAACACTGAGGATTAGGTTGTTCCACTTTCAGTTCATCTATGGATGCAAAAGTTAAATGAGCATGGTGTTTGCTTCTAATAATGAACATCAGAAGGTGAATAA